GGCTAATGGGAGCTGCAGCGGACCAAAATACATCTACTTCTGTTACTTGTATTGAGGAATTGATGAGTATGGTTATGGATTGATTTCGGTTTAAATTACTTCTGACTAGGACACAACTTAAAGAGACAGAGCATTAGATTGAAATTGAGAATCCACTGAATCAGATTAGAATTTCGTTAAATAACGATATTATTTTTTTTTTTTTTGGCAACCGTGTTGTCTAAATTACGCATAGAGGTGTGAGCTGTATAACGATATCCATAAAAGTTGTCATAAGTTTATTTTGTCGCACTTTAAAGATTAAAGGCCATTTTTAAGAATGAAGATTTCCATGGTGTTCTTTGATGCCTTTCACCAAATCGTTACATGGTAGAGATCGTATTGACCAAGATTCCTTTACCGGTCTATGAGATTGAATGAGCTGTGACATATCAACAGTGATGTAAAGTAAAAAACACTATGGCCGTTTTCACGACGGAACTTTCGCAGAGGAACTTATTTGATACCTAAAAAGTACCTACCCTTAGAGGCCTTAACATCCCTCAAACTGAAATATTTTATGTTCAAAATAATTTTAGAAGTTTAAATCTGGGCATTTTTTGCCCTCAAATCACTTATTTATTTACAAACACAGCAATTTTTGGTTCTAGTAGCCCACCTTTCGACTATGAGGTATTTAATCAGCGTGGCAAATTGCTCCCTCTTTGCTCCCTCGGGTATCTAATTCCGGAATTCTTAAAAACAAGGAAAGTATATATCGAGTTCTCTTTTATACCTATTCAGTTATGTTTTAATGGTGATTAAAATATGACAAATTTTTTAATTACATTTCATATAAGAAAACACGCAAAACAATGAAACAAAAATAACTACGGCAGATAATTACCTTCAGGTATCTAATTCCGACCAATCAGCACCTCAGTAGGATATGACGTCATACAAGAATGGTGGTGAAGGCCGTTTGCAGTCCCGGCCGGTAGGTCACGTGACCGCCGGGCGCCTCGGGTCACGCGGCGGTCGGGAGTCGGACGCGGGGCGTGGTCGCGGGCGGACGCGCGGGGCATCATGCTTTGCTTTGCTTGCTTTGTCAACTTCATATAACTTACTATCGCATTCGTGTGAAAGCCAAACACTGCTCAGTGCCCTTAGAAATTGAGTTTTGGAAAGCTCAAGTCCCTATAGCTCCTCAGGTCGGCAACAGTTGAAGCCTTATCTGAACCCATGTGAAAAAACGAGGGTAAGGAACCTTGTGTTGCTTTTTCTTTTACCGTCATAATTATCTCAAACCATCACAATTTTGAGTTGCCACATTGTCTGCTTCACTACATTCGTGTAAAACTTGGGTGAAGGCTGGTGGCTCAAAGAAAGGTGAAGATATTTCTTTAAGTGCCTAATCCGTGAAATTGAAATATCCCGGCTTTACAAATCTACACTTTTCATTTTCTCCACGACACATTTTTTAAAATTGTTTAAATTTTATCTACATTTGTTAAAATCGGGGCTTTGGTTTTTTGTAAACTAGATCATAAAGTTTACTATAGTTTTGTGTAACCTGATGGCTGAAGAAAATAGTAATTTTGCTAAAATGATGTGCGGAAATTTGTTGCTTTCCAAATCAAATTACTCATACCTATATTTCATTCGAAATTGGGAGGCATTATTACTGTTTTTTCTTGTAACATGAACTGAGTTTGGGTACGGTGCTCCGGAAACGTTGTGGAACTTTAAGCTAGCTAGAGCAGTTTCCATAAAAATTGTTTAGATCGTTGACATGGCTTGTTGACAACTCTTTTGCTGTTTCTAAAAAAGTGAAAAAATATTTTCCTGCATTAAGCACACAAGGCATGTTACTCTCATAAGCTATCGAATGTGTGTGTGTGTTTTTTTTAAGCTGTTTTTTTAAGCTTTTAAGCTGTAACTTCAGTTACTTCACTTTAGAACATATTGCCCAGAATGCGTCACTGATCATGAGCTGATATATCATATCATATGTAGCAAATACATAAATGAGAATAGTGTGTCATGAATTTTTGTGCATGCTTCTGGATCATCTGTAATTACATCAAAGGCTCGGCTCAAGAGTGTCCTGCCGACCAGCTTATGCCCAACCCTTTCTGTCCGCAGAACGTCGCCTGCGACTCCCGCACGCCGTTTGCCCCGGCCGTCCGTACTGGTCTTCGCGCTGCGAGCCGCGCTGGAGTTCGCGGCGGCGTCGTGGAGCTCCCATCGGGACGGCGTGTGATGCCCGCGTCGAGCTTATAAGCCGTGAGCTTCGATTGGCGGCTCACGCGGTCACCAGCTGTATGTACAGCCTCGGCCCCGACGACCCCGCTAATGGCCGAGACCGACATACCCCCGGCATGGGTCCGCTGTCCGGCGCAGCGCTGGCCGCCCGCATGCTATGTTACTTTTGGCTGTATCGCTGCCCAGCGGGAGCGCGCTCCACGCTGCGGAAGAGGTACACGTTGCGACCCGACTGAGGACTGCAACCGGATGGTGACACGTCGGCCTCTGCGCCCTGGCCGGGGCAGGCGTGACCGACGTCACAGTGGAGGAACGCCCAAACAAGACCAGCCCACCGTCGGAGCAGCATGGAAATATGTTCTGCCTGGACGTCGGACCCGGCGGCTGCAGTGCACCTGCACACGTGCGGAGAGGGGCGCTGGAGGCTACTCTGGAGCTTCTGCCATTCCGCGGCGCGACTGCTGGCAAAACGGCGGCGATTGAGGCGGTTGGGAACAGCTGCAGCAATGGTGATGGCGGTGATGGCGACATGGCGGTTTGGGACTTCATCTCAGCGCGGCCGCCGCCCAGGCGCCGCTGCGCCCGGCTGCTCAGCCACCTACCGGATGGCGGGGTGGCCCTTACGGCCCTCACGCCCGTTCGGTCTGCGGCCACGTTGTGGGGTGGCGGTCGCGGGGTTAGCGGCGTTGGACTTCGTCCTTTATCCAGACTGCACCGTACCATCTGAACGGATGGATCTGCCAAGAAAGATGACATCCAAGGCGGCTATGAGGCGATCACAAAGCTTCACCAAGAGCTTCTCCTTCATGGGGCCGGCCGGCCGTTAAGTCGCAACACCGGCTGCCGAGTGCCAACAGCTGCGTGCGCTGGCGCCGACGCGTTGTGGGCCGCGCTGCTGACGCCCAAGCTGCGATATCAACCATCTATGAATAAGTGGCAGCGGTGGCGGCTTGTCAGTTGTTAACGTGCCTTAACAGACGTTGCGAATAGCCCGCGTTGGAATCGCATGGTTGGGAACACAACGCAAGTAAAAATGGGCTTCCTTGATGAACCTACTTTTTAAGCATTGTAGCCTTTGTAATTTTGGATGTTTTGCTGTAGATATTATTTTCTACATATATACTATATAGGCACTCACGTGCTTTAAATCGCGCAATGCAATTGAACCACGGTAAAGACAATAATAAATGAACTGAGAGCTGACATGCCCCATGCTTTGTGTGTGTATGTGTGTGTGTGTGTGTTTTTTTTTTTTTTTTTTTTTGGCGAGTCGATAAAAGTGGTTTTGGACACTGGATGAGTTTTTAGGGGTGTGGTGAGGGGGGATGTAATTCCACAGACATTCTGTCAGATTCACTAATGCAGTAGGTCTGTGCGGTGTTTAGTTATCGGAGCATTCTTTGAAAGTCGTGAATAGGGCCACCGAGTACCTAAAGCCGTGATATTCCCCCACAAAAAAACTTCTTTTAAATAACCGGGGATAGGTACATGAGCAGAGTAAATGCTATTACGAACGCCTATCACAATGCTGAGCGAATAGGAAAATCCATAGATGGAGAATTGTGCCGCGTTACGGGTGCTCGGGCGCACCCAATCCACCGTTACCCCAGCGGTGACCTTGACCCGCATCGTCTGTCTCGGCTCCAAAGCCAAACCGGCGTGGAATTGGGAGCGTTCGAGCACTCATGGTCCAGCGCAATTCTCCACCTAAATCCATTCCTGATACACATTTGCTTGCTCATAGTCATGTAACCCCGGTAAATTCACCCAACTTTCATATTGGTCGCTCCATAGACAGATGGCCACAGAGATCAACTTAAAAGGCCATTGTTGCATTCATTTAGTGGAGATCATTAAAGAGCCGTGACAGGCCACAAGTCGCGTGACATCATACGTGTAACGACCAATGACGACGGCCTGCAAAACCCAATGGAAGCGGCTAGCAGCGTGCAATAAAACAGGGCGCTGCTTTCTAAATGTCTGTCGTGCGCCATAAATGAATATATTCTTTGTAGCCTGGTAACTCAGTATCTTTTTTTAACTATTGTACTAGTATTTAATAATTTCATAATTTTATAATTGTGCTTACGCTTTATGTTGATATTAGTGATAAATCCTTAGATAAAGTAAATCGATGTGATATTTAATAGAAAACTAGCAAACTAACGCACCATTCATTCGAAAGCTGGGGAACCTACTAAAAAGAACTACTAAAATTCCTGAGGAACCAAAGGATCAAATGGGGATTAAATAGATGCCTGCTATTCCGTCGTGAAAACGGCCTATAGCAACAAAGCGGAATGTTGCATCTTCGTGCCAACTCACCCAGCGAATGGGTCGAGTCACGAGTGCATGCACAGCCTCTTCAGATCACAAGTTCAAATAGCGAGAAAAGTGACATATACCGAAACTATGCCAAACACAATAGCGGCTGTAGAGGAGGATAGAGGCTCACGCACGGCACTAATTCTCCATTTAAAGCTATCTGAAGGAAGTGTCTTCAAACAGTTTCAGGACCAGCCCCGATACTATCACCCTGAAACTATTTGAAACATTGCCCACAAAAATGATACTAATTACACAACATCTGTTACGATACAAGATAATTCATATGACTTCCCTAGGCAGTAGGCATAATAAAAATTGTAAGTTGATTATAAGATAGTAGGACAGGTAAGTTGATGGTGATAGTTAAAACGGTTACCGACTGATAGCCCCTTCTTTCAGGTGTGCATGGCGTCACTGCGGTGCCTCACCTCCCCTCGCGTGTGCCCGCGTCTGGAGCGCTGTCGGCCTCAGCTGGAGAGCACGCTAGACGCCGCGGATCAGCTCGGTCGGCTGCCGTCCGGCACGGCGCGGTCACCTCCTATATAGTGCGGCCATAGGAGGAGCGCGGACGGCGGAGGCGGCGGCGCGGCACCTGCGCCGGCGGACCGCACTGTCGAGACCGACGGGACTGACGGGACCGACGGGGTCCGCTCTGGACATGGGCCCGCCCGTCAGGACCGTTGGGACCTCTGTGGACACGGCGAGGCCCGCCGGGACGGACGGCACCTTGGGGACCGCCCCTGGGCGCGGAGCCGCATCGGCCGACATTAGCCCATTAGTGGTCGCGATGTCCGAGTGTGGCCGACATCTGTGACGGCCAGGCAGGCGCGATGGGATCGCACTCCTGCTGATTGCTGGTGCGTGAGGATGGAGCTGGAGACAGCAGCACGCGTGGGTGCCGCACTGGCGCAGGATGGTTTCCAAGAGTCCGAGACCTCTGATTCCCTGCGAAATTTCGTTGATAGCGCAAATTAGGTCTACCGTATGATGGATCAATGAGGTAAAAAATTGTGCGTTTATTTCAGTTTCATTTTTTGGCCAAATCTTGCTATCAATACGCCAGACGCCCTAGAAGAAATATCATTTGAGGCTCCTGACATACTCAGCAGCATTTCGAAATCGAGAGAGAGAGAGAGAGAGAGAGAGAGAGAGAGAGAGAGAGAGAGAGAGAGGGAGAGAGAGGAAGAGAGAGAGAGAGAGAGAGAGAGAGAGGTGTGTAGACCGACTTCTCTTCACAGAGGAGTCTCTAACTAAGAATATCATAGTTGTTAAATACTTAGCTGTGGCATTTTAACTGAAACTATGGAATCTCCGGATAAATTTGCTAATTGCTACATTTCGCATCATCAGACTTGGTTAGCCCGCGCACCGACGGGGGGGGGGGGGGCGGTTGACCGCTCCCCCATGAGGTTTTTCGTGAATAGCGGGAAAATCGCGGCGCGTAGCGCCGCGAAATTTGGCTGGACTTTTTCCTCATCAATTTTCCACATAATGTGCAAGTTTGAACTTCCTACCTTTCAAGGTCAGGTCACAAGGTCACTTCGAATGACCTTACCTCATATCACTTTTTTTTGCAAATTTGACACCGTCTCGAGAGCTACAGAAGATGACGGAGGCCTTTGAAAGTTGCAGGATGTAATGAGGTCATTGAAAGCTATACCTAATTTATACATCTCGGAATTTGTATATCTAGCCCTCGCCGGCACAGGGGAGGGGGGGTTGATGCAACCCCCCTAAGGTTTTTCGCGAATAACTCGCGTAAAAAGCGGCCGATCGCGACGAAACTTTCAGTACCCTCGCACTGATCAATTTTACACCTACCCTGAAAATTTCATGACCCTGACCCCAATGACCTTTGACCTGTGACCTCTTTTCTGTGACCATGTTTGGCCGAAATCGCGGTTCGGCGCATGTCGGCTCGCATTAGCCGCGCGTTTGCAAGCTTTTCGTGGTTTCAAACATTCAAACATGTGATTTGATGTTGCTCCCATGCATTAGGGTGGGTGTCAAGGTCACCTGAAGGTCAGGTCAGGTCATTGACCTTTGGTGACCTCGGGTGACCTCGGTTCACTTTTTCGAGTTTTACATGTTTCTAGGCTAGTTTTTGGAGCTGAATTCGAATTTAGCAACCATTTGAACATTTACGAAGTAGTTTTGGTGCCTTCGTAACATGTTACGAAGCTGTCCGAGGCGGTTGACACGTATTACGAATACCCGTCACAACCCCTACCGGTTGACCTGACCTGACCTGACCCGACCTGGTCTAAATGCTTAAAGACATCATCTCTGATCAAAACTAACACGATATTCGTGATCAGCACCCCGGAAAACCACATAGCAGCCACACTTTACGACTTTCTAACAGGTCCCGATTTTCCCGGTTTTCGGGTCATTGACCTGACCTGGAAGGTCACCCGATGACCTAGGACCTTAAAATTGGGTATCATCGGCTTCCTCTCGTGACGGGCAACACGCTCGTTTTTTTTTTGCGAAGCTCTAGCTCGATCAGGGGCCAAACGCGAGGGGGGGGGGTCGTACCAACCCCCCCCCCCCCTTGTGCCGTCGAAGGACTCAAAATGGCCTGTGCCGGCGAGGGCTAGGAATTCTCGGAAAATTGTAGACTTTGTTCTTGCGTACCCCATGCCGTTTACCGCTTGTCGCTATCTTGCTCCGTTCTCGAGATCTCAGGGGGAGGGGGGCGGTCAACCGCCCCCCCCCCCGTCGGTTCTAAGCTGGTGCAGATCCCCGTCGGTGCGCGTGCTAAGGCTGATAAAGAAATTAAACCCTTAACTAAAAAGTTGACTATATTGGTACCAGATCATTTCATTTTTTGGACATGGTTTGATTGGAAACCCCACAAGCTACGAGTCTCTCGTATTCCGGAAGAGCTTCATCACGTCTACCTCCTCAGTTTACCAATAATGAACTGAACAGTTGACCACTAATCGCCCAGTCCGAAGAAGGAGGTGAATGATTCAGGAAACCATTATCCGGAGAAGAGAGACCGATGCTGAATCCATATCAAGGATAGTTATACGGAGAGCCGTTAATGAAAAGCACAACGTAACAACAGTTAATCGCGGGGTTACCAAATGTTTGGCTAATTCAGTGGCCATTGAGCGAGACCAGCTTACTACGGGGTAACTCCTCAGAGCTCCTCAGAGCTATATACGGGGTAACTCCTCAGAGCTATAATACATGGATTCAGTTGTTGCTGCAAAAACAGCACACAGGATTCCTCATGCGAATTCACTGTGACTGCTTAGTTTCGTAGTAACACGTTTTGATGGAGCTTCCATTTAACTTGCCTTTCTGACCTACTTGTAAAATCCCCGAGCTGCTACTGAATTCGGCATATGTGTAACAAGTTGTTGGGGACTTTACGTCACAAGAAATCATTCGGAGTAGTCCTCATTAACTTGTTACATTTACGAACTCCACTTCATGTCCTTGCGAGAATTCGGTACCTCAACCTCAACATCAACTAACTCTTACAAAAGCGTAGGGAGACATTTCATGTTTGCATCTAAATTGGGTAGTCGGAAATAATTACAAATTGAGCGCGCAAAATGCACCTCTGCTTTCGCATTACCAGAAGCACATCGTGTCTCATATTTGCACAAAATAATTCCTAGCCAGGTGAGTTTGTACATTTGAGTGTCTTTCGAAGTGTGTTTTTAATTATTCGAGCAGCCTGCATCTGTTAGGTTTTAGAGCTACAAGTAGACTTCACAACTTTAACGCTTGTTTTGCGCACAATGCTGATTTAAAGCACAAACTACACACATAGCTTCGCAGTGGCAGGTCAAACAAAATATTATCTTTCGTTGACAAGCATGCTGTGTCACCGGAGATAGGGAATAATCTCAGGGGCGAGCAGGCTCTAGACACTAGGCAGTAGGCAGCCATAATCCAGTAAGTCCAGAAACACTGTTGTATCGACGATTCGACAGTCGACACCGAGATGTTTGTAAGCGTGCACATCGCCTGTCCTCTCTGAATGTCCAACCAGGTGCAGAATAGAGGTTATGATAACACATCATTTCTGAGTGGTGGTGATATCTCTCTCTCTCTCTCCCTCTCTCTCTCTCTCTCTCTCTCTCTCTCTTTCTCTTTCTATTTTTCTCTCTTTATCTTCTCTTCTCTTCTATTCTCTCCTCTTCTGTTCTCTCTTCGTCTCTTCTTTTGTCAGTTCCTACTCTCTTTCCCTGTTTGAGGGCGCTGACGTCACGTCAACGTCCGGTCACGTCATTACCGGGGCAAATTGAAACATCACAAAAGGCATGTCAGCTTTTTACCGCTTTGTCATACGGTGTGGTGCAAACAGTCCGGTTATATTTCTCCGAGATAGCTCGAGTTCAAAATTGCACATCTATCGTGTTACGAGGTGTAACAAGCGTACGTTTGAAAACTGCCAGCGCGCAGCGTCACTAATGACATCTGATATCGTTGATAATATCCATATAACATTGTGTTCTGTCGGCAGTGGGCGTGGAGATTCCCGACGAGATAGCGCAGCGAACCGCCGGCGGCGGAGGGGCGCTCATCGACAAGCTGAAACAGCAGATGCAGACCAGTGGGAAGTGAGCGGGCCGCACCGGGGCTGCGCGGCCACCGGTCACGGCCCATCCCGCTGAGGCTCGAACCAGCACCTGACCCAGCCTGTGGGGGACAACGGAGGGTGTTTCAGGGCGTAAACACTCAGCCTTTAAGGAACTCTTAGCCGCGTACTTACTTACGTATTTTTATGTACTCTTCACGCATTGATTTGCTGCTGTGAATGCCGATATAAACGGTAGCGGGGAATCAGGATCGTGTGCACATGATCTCCTTCTTCATCTCGTCGTTGTCGTTCAAGCTGACTGCTATTGACCGCAGATACATACTCTCATTTCTACGCCCTGACGAATTCCACAATGGCCTGGGTTTCTTTTGGTAAGGCCTGAAGCGTCATAACTGATAAGGCTCAAACTCTACCATTAATATCGGCATTTTTACAGCCGTAAACGGCGTTCCACATGGGAAAAATGACTAATCCTTGAAATAGCCATCAAAGCCATATCAATAAAGCTCGGAAAACAAGGTCACGTAAGGCTGACGGACTGGGTCTCAGCATGGATCTAGGGTCTCACTGCAGAGACAGTATGCTCGTGGATGGTCTCCATATGCAACGTATAACAGAGTGGCGTGGCCGCCGCAGTTGATTACGGCCCCAAATGAGCGAATATAAGGGAAACTTCTGTCGTCTTGTCTGCCTGTTATGATATTAACCAGGATTAATGAAGCGTTATTGTGAATAAACGCATATCAAAGCACGACACCGGCTCGGCCATCCAATGACAACGCAGAGCTCTAGCATAGCACCAACATTATGGAATACACGTAACTGACATAACCTTAAAACTTACCAGCATCGACAAAACAGAGCTATTCTCGGCCTGCCCGAGAGCGTCTTTAGTTCTTTAGTTCTTTACTTTGGCTTTTCATTTTCTCGGAGCATTGTTTATATCATAGTGTAATAAATAACTATGTTACTATGTTACTATG